AAAAAAGTACAGCTACTATATCATTTCTTTAATTAATAAAAGTACAGCTAGTATATCACTCCTTTATTTAATAAAAGTACAACTACTATATCATTCCTTTAATTAATAAAAGTACAGCTAGTATATCACTCCTTTATTTAATAAAAGTACAACTACTATATCACTTCTTTAATTAATAAAAGAACAGTTATGATATGATTCCTTTAATTAATAAAAGTATGGCTACTATATCATTCCGCTATTTAATATAAGTACAGCTATTATATCGTTACTTTCTTGAATATATTTTTGTAAAGTAACGTTCATTGTATACCTCACGATAAATTGATAAAGAATACGAGAATTTTTCTATCTATAGAGAACTTTTATTACTTTTCTAACTATACAGAATTATTATTATTTTTAAGTGTACAGAATTATTGTTGTTTTTAAGTGTACAGAATTATTGTTGTTTTTAAGTGTACAGAATTATTGTTGTTTTTAAGTGTACAGAATTATTGTTATTTTTCGAAATGCCTCCCAGTCTGCGGACTTATAACGCTAGAAACCGGGTTTCGACACCCGTGGTGGGCAGAGCACAGATTGCCCATTGTGTAGTTTTGTGCATAAATTCAAACACACAAACAAACAAATTTTTTGAAATAGGAATATTTATATTTTTCTAACTATGAAGGACTATTGTTATTCTATTTATACAGAACTATTTTTTTATTCTGTACAGAAACATTCTTTTAACAATATAGAACTGTTTTTCTTTTCTAACTGTCCATAAATGATATTATATTTCTAACAATACAGAAGTATTATTTTTTTATTATCACTCAGCAATGTACAAGTGATTTGAGTAAATGTAGATACTATATATATTTTTTTTTAATTTACAGGATACCTGTTGGAGATCCATGAAAAAGGATGTCAAGAAGAAGAAGTGTTTCCGTTTTATTAATAGAGTTACGTCGTTAAACATGGCAGACCTAAAGGGAAACTTGATGAATCCTGTTATTGAAATTTTTATTTTCTTGCTGGTGTGTGAAACAGTGTCACTAAAACAGTCCGATGTTCCATGTCCAACTGCCTGTAAGTGTGGTCAACATTATTCCGATATCCTGAAAGCTCGGCTTCTAACGGTTAACTGTTCGTACCGAAGCTTCAATAATGCACCTCTAAGCATTCCTTCCAAGACACAGTCGTTGATTTTGTCTGGGAATCGATATCCCGATCTCTTCAACAAACTCTCTCCTCTTCCCCATCTCCAGGAACTTGACTTGTCAAGTAATGCCATAAAACGTCTTGGCAGAGGAACTATCTTCCAGAACTTTGCAAGGTTAAAATTTTTGAACCTTTCTAATAACACATTTAAAACCCTCTTCAATGGCGTTTTTCGCGGTATTCATAAATTGGAAGGGCTTACGATTGCCGATGGAAACCTGAAATTCATCGATGAACGTGTATTTGAGGGAATGAGTAGTCTACGATATTTGAACTTAAAGAACAACAAGATTCACTCTATTCCT